GACTTGCCATCGGTATACTCGAAATTCCTAGCCCTAAAAATCTATTTCTGATCGTGTAAAATATCACCGGTAATCAGACACTAACATTTGCTTACATGTTTGTCTGTATTTTGCAGATGCTAGCATATGGATGGTGCAGTTCATGAAGGCTATGCGGGACGAGAAGGGGGAGATGGTGCGGAACGCGCACGTGCTGGGCTTCTTCCGCCGAATCTGCAAGCTGCTATACCTTAGGACTAAACCGGTCTTCGTGTTCGACGGAGGCACACCAGCACTGAAGCGCCGGACTGTAATCGCGCGCCGCAGGCAGCGCGAGAACGCCCAGGCAAAGATCCGCAAGACCGCCGAGAAATTGCTCCTCAATCAAGTTAGTTATTGCTCTCTTCGCTCTCACTTGAGTTATTACTAGCGGCTTTAATTATTATTACCCAAAAAAATGTTATGATTTTTGTGCTGGGTTATTGTTGATAGCTGAAGGCAATGAGGCTGAAGGAGCTGACCCAGGCTCTTGAGCATCAGAGACAGAAACAGAAACAGAAGAATGATGGTAATGTGGCAAAGCTTTTGTCAAATGAATCGTTTGAAGCTGGCATGGGGAGTGGTGCGGAAAGACTTAGTACATCATCGAGGAGTCAGGATCCGGGAAATATTGATGAAGCGTAAGCTGCAAATGTACATTTTCAGTCATATGGGGGGTTTCGAAACTGTGTATGGTTTATATAGCTTTGAAAGTTAATTTAGGTTGGCATCATCAATTGCGGCTAAGAATAAAGATGGAGCAACTAAATATGCATCAACATCTGCTGCTGTGGCACCAGTGGAGGAGGAAGGGGATGAAGATGAGGAGATAATACTTGTAAGTTAATTCCTGTTTAGCCTTGGAGTGGTTGTTTATTCGGCATAATAGATACTGTTGCAACTGGCTTGCATGATTGTGGATGCTGTTGGATTGACATTATTGGGCAGGTTGACTAAGATTTGAGTTATTAATCCCAAAAAATATAGAATTTGTAAGGTTTGCAGGAAACTATATTTTGATTTACAAATCAATATTCTCTCCTTGATTTTTGAGATTAAACTATCTGGCATTCAATGCTCGGAAGATTCTCAACCTCTGTGTCCATAATTGGTTAGTGTATTTCATTGCTTTGTAGCCAACAGGGAATGAAGATGTTGATCCAGTTGTTTTTGCTGCCTTGCCTCCTTCAATACAACTTGAACTTATTGAGCAGGTACACTTCTTTATGAATCTAATAATTAGATTGGTCTCTCAAGTTCTTGTTCTTGGCCATTTTCTTAATGTTAATTTTTCGTGCAACTTATAGATGAATGGGCCCAAGCATAAGAAGATATTATCAAATGACCAAGACCATATTAACATGTTGAAATGCAGTGGCCAAAGGAATAAGGTAGCGTCCGTTAATCATGACCAGCAGAAGCTAGATGAAATGTAAGTGGCATTTGCAGATGCAGTTATGAGAATATTCTCATTTGTGCTGTTTAAATTTTTCCACTGCTATTTTAGGCTAGCAGCATCAATTGCAGCAGAGGAAAATGGAGATGAAACCAACAAAACATCTACGTCTGGTCCTGCAATTCTGTCTGAGGAAGAGAATGCTGATGATGATGAAGAATTTCTGTTGGTAAGTTTTGGGTGGACATAAGCAATCAACATCATTTGGCCTAATGCTGTTAAGAGTTACTGGGGTCTTTAATCAAGTGGTTAATGGCTTGGCATGATTCTTTTTCTTCTGCAAGAGGAAAAGCCAAAGAAGATTATGGTGATTGTTATGATAAATAAAGTTATTGATAAGTTGAGATTTTCTTTGTTTATTTGCTTGTTTGAGGACATAAGTCATTAGTTTTTCTAATGTGGTGCATATATATATATATAATTTTTTTTTTCTCCTTAATCAAATGGTAGATATGAGCATAAGTATATGGTGGCCATTCACAACCTTACTCAACAAATAATGACAACCTTTCTGCAAGTTTTATGTTTTTGTCTGAAGGTGGAATTTTCTTTACGTTTAGAATATATATACCATTGCTATTCCTGTATTTATTTAGATTTTTTTTCCTTTCAGCCAGTAATGCATGGAAATGTTGATCCTGCTGTTTTAGCTGCTTTGCCTCCGTCAATGCAGCTTGATCTTCTTGGTCAAGTAAGCCTTTGGATATTTTTGTAAGTTTCTGGTTGTTTCAGATATTTGGAGGTCCTCTTATATTTGTGCTTGTCTTCTTGTAGATGAGAGAGAGGTTGATGGCAGAAAATAGGCAAAAGTACCAAAAGGTCAAAAAGGTAAGTCTAAATCATGGATGCTTCTTTGTATAAAGACCCATATCATGTGTAATAATCTGTCTTAGATTGCTATTCATGCATTTGCGCTAACAGATATGAGTAACAATAGACTTACAATTTGACAAAAAGAGAATATGTATTAAAAGGGCACCAAAGGGGTGCCACCCCTGTACTAGAAGGCAACTATTTTGAAGAACACAGAATAGTCTAATGCTGTGTTTGGTTGATTTTTTTTTTAGGATAATTAATGTACGATAAGGTTTGGTAATTACACAGGATGGTAATTATAAAGTTATACCATGTTCGAGAAGATTGTGTATTAATGTATGGTAATGACAGATATTTTATTTAGATTGATAGGATGGTATGATTGCATATTTAGTCAAATTATCAATTATCTCTATCTTATTGTATGTAATATTAAATGAAAAAGTATAAAAAAAACTCATTTAACTTGTAATTAAGTTATTTAACTTGTAAAATTATTTAAATTATAATTTTTAATGAATTTTTTTTAAAATATTAAAAAATAAATTTGTTATGAAGAATAAAAATATAATTTTTTAATACTTAATATAAGAAAAACAAAATTTGGGTTTAAAAGTAAAACGAGAATTAATAAATAATTGTGAGAGTAAAATGGGAAGAAAAATATTCAACTATTAAAAACCATCGAATCAGTGGTTTGAAAAATCTGGAAACAATAGAAAAATGATCTACTACTAAAAACCACCCAATCAACCATACCATCTATTTGGAAGTTATTCAAACAAGACAAATCTAGTGAATTAGTATATCGCACATTAATAGTATATCATTCAAACACAGCATAAAGGTTCCAAGATCCTCTCTTAACAGAATGATATAACCTCTAAGTAAAAAAAAAATACAAAGCCTGGAGCCAACAGTCCTCTAATACAAACAAAAAGAAGGGTTATCATCTTCAAAAACTGTATTGTTAATTTTCTCCAACAAGCCATTCAGTGACCAATCGGACGAGGGATATTCTTAGTGGCATAAGTGCTATCATATGCCCAGATTATGTCTGCTGCCGAGCTATTGATGACCCAGGAAAGGTTGAAAAATAAGAGCAGAAATCCACAATCTACTTGCTTTGGGACACCAAGGAAGAAGGTGATTGGAAGATTCATTCTCCTGAAGGTAGAGGCGGCAGCCATTAACAATGATTCTCCCTCGGCTTCTTAGGTTGTTGAAAGTGAGGATTTTGCCAAGGCAGCCTCCTGACAAAGAGTGCAATTTGAGGCAATGCCTTCTTCAAAATTTGCTTTCAGGGGAATCTGAAGGCAACTGGCCACTGGCTATGGAGGTTAATGTTGAAGGACTTGACAAATAAGATAAGATAGTGTTCTTAGAGATAGATTAGACCAGCTTGTTAGATGCACTTAGGATGACCTGGCTGCCAGCTAACTGAAGCAGTGAGGTGGCCAAGTCATCAATCTCCTAGTCATTGATCTTGGGGGAAAAATAGATGTCTCAAGAGGGATGAGAGAGATCATGCCTTGTCATAAGCTCGCCATCTGACCCATCTCTATCTCTAGCAATCTCAAAAAGTCTCAGAAATTGCTCTATCAATGTAGTACTCCTACTCCAGTGATCACGTCAGAAATTCACTCTCTAAACATTGGTCATTGCCAGTGTGGAAGTGTTCAATATTCATCACTTGATTCCAACCCTTGCTAACCCATTTCCAGAGACTTGTATTGAATGTTTTTCGGCTCACCAATTTGCCACTTTCTCCCTACCAAGCAATACTTAGCGGTGTTTACCTCCTTCAATAACCTTATTACTGTAGGAATAAATTTCTAGAGCCACTTAGTCGAGAGAGATTTGTTCCTAACTAATAGATATTTAATGCTAAGCCCTTCCACTTCCTTTAGGCACTTAAATAAATCTGAAGCCATAAGGTTGTACATCCTCTACTCCTTTAAGTGGACCCCTAAAAACCTGGACTGGAAGGATTCAAACCTCTTAGCCACCTTGGAAGGAATGGGAAAGAGGGATAGGTAGTAGATCAACCGATTGGATAGAGTGCTTTTGATCAAAGTCACGCTCCTTCCCTTGGGCATAATATGCTAACTCTTCCATAAAGAAATCCTTTTTCCACCTTGGATTTAATTGGTTCCCAAACACATCTATTTTGAATTTTGTACCTAAGGACAAACCAAGGCACTTGATGGGGAGAGAGGTCACTTTGCATCCTGGCAACCCTGCGAATTCACTAATAGGAGCACCTTTCCCAAGCGGAACCATTTTTGATTTATCAAAATTGATTTGAACCCCAAGACAGCCTCGAAACAAATCAAGATGCATCTAATAGTCACCATGTGGTCCCTCTATGGTTTGTGAAAGAGTGATATGTTGTTTGCGGATAAAAGGAGAGTGATTTTTTTTGTGAGAAGCACTGTTACCCACCTCAAAAACCTAAATCAAATAATCCCTCTTGACCATCCGGATCATGTGATGAAGGGCCTCAATGACCAGAGTAAATAGAAACAGTGAAAGGGGATACCTATTGTAAAGAAAGTGGTTGATCCTTCATTAATAAGGATATTGAAGGACGAAGAAGAGGAAGAATACTATAATCTGCTTCGTTGTCTTGCTATTATTAAGGTGAAAAATCAGAAGGACAAAAGAATCTGGAAACTGGACAAGAAAAGAGGCTTTTCTGTGAAATCCTACTACAATTATATTGTCAAAAATGAAGATGAAAATGTCATGGCAGCACCTTTCAAGCAAATCTGGAGGTTAAAAGCTTCACCTAGAATGACTTTCTTCACTTGGGAAGCTGTTAAAGAAAAAATCTTGACCATTGATATGTCGAGAAGAAGAGAAAATATGATTGTTAATAGGTGTTACATGTGCAAAGCTGATGAAGAATCATTCAACCACTTGTTACTTTGGTGTCCAATGGTGTACAGAATTTGGGAGTAGGTGTTTGGGATTATGGGGATGAACTGGGTTATGGCGGGTAGTGTTAGCAAAGAGTTGTGGGCATAGGTTGGTTTATGTAAAAAGAAAAAATAATTGTTCTTTATTCCGATTTCCATTTTTTGGGTTGTGTAGAGGGAGAGAAATGCAATGACTTTTGAGGGAATTGAAATTGACATTGTAAACATTAGTAATAGATGGTTTCATATTTTTAGTTTTATTTTGTTTGATCATGACATATTAGATTTGGAAGATATTAGAACTGTCATGAACCACTTGGTCGACTTATAATTATTTTGTTTTCGGGTGGTACCTCTTTGATACCTTTGTGCATAATAATATTCTTTTTCTTTTATCTCCAAAAAAAAAAAGATACATCTCATGATCATATGGTTTTCAAGTGTCAAGTTCGCATAAAATCCTTCTATCTCCAAACTTAAGTAAAGAGTTGAAAACTTTGTTTGCGGTTAGAGCCGTCTCCAGAATCTTTTGACCTTCCACAATTGCATATTGATTCTTCCCTATCACTTGGCTAATAACATTACTTAATGTGTTTGTCAGCATCTCTCCAATTAGTTAGTAAATACTGCCAAAAGAACTAATAGACCAAAAATCTTTCATGTCCTCATTATTCTCCACCTTGGGAATCAGAACAATGAAACTTGAGTTCAAAGAGGCCATGTATTTATCACGAAAATTTGCAAAAAGAGACTTAACATTTCTGATACCGTCCCAACTTTGTCACAAGAGAAAAAAAACATAGTGAAGTTCAGTTCACAAGCTTTATTACCTTTCCAACTGATTAAAGCGTCTAGCACAAATTCTTGGTTTAAACCTATTAAGGTACAATGCGTAATGTTTTATTTCATATTTGGTCCTACACCTTTCATTCTTTTTCTTTTTTGATTCTTAGCCTTTTAACATCTTAAAATGTGAAACTCAATCTTTAATCTTTCCCCAATTTCATCATTCTGTTAGTTTTTTTGTTAGAACTAATAGCTCGGCCATATGAGTGCCACGTTCTGCCATGTTTTCAAGAAACTAGCTCAAACCCAGCCCATTTATTTGATCTTACCTACTAATGAGTTAATCTGAACTGGTTATTTCATATCTCTTGCATATCTAGAAAAGAACCAAAAATTTTACCTTGCTCATTTGAAACGCTTGAAACCCAATCTTTTCACCAAAAATGGTGGGCCCAGAATAAAGGAAAGGGAAGAAGCAACCCCTTGTATATTGCAATGGGAAACATTCATTTTAGAAAATAAGATCTAAAAGTCATCAAGTTGCATTTACAAGTTCTAAAGGCTGGAGATGGTGAATAGATTGGGGTTCTTTTCCAAATGGGTGAGAGAGGTGAACTAACAGAGTCAATTGAACACAGGCCGATTGGATGATAATTGGGACACGTTTGAGCTGGCACCACATCATTAGTTTTTGACGACGTGACATACATGTAGCAACCACGTGTTCAATCTGTTAGTTTCTAACAGAGACTCTAAAGAGAAGGATGTGATTGGAGGGAAAAAAACAAGTCTTGAGTTTTAATATGTTAAAAGTGAATGATCAAAAGGAAAAGTATGAAAGGTGTAGGACCAAATATGAAACTAAGCCATAAATAATATATTAGGTCATTTCCTACTAGCTAAAAGTTTTGTTAAAACTGGTTCCAAATTATTATTCAATATATGATATGAGAGTTTGAGGTCTTGTTTTTCAGCTTTTCCCTTACATACTTATCTTTTCAATGAGAACACTACATCTGATTATTAATTTTGAGAAAAAGTTAGAGGTATCCAAATTTTTGTTGTCTCTAGCTATGTAATATAGTTTGACTTTCATTCTTTTATTAGGAACTCTCGAGATCAAAAAAGTTGCTGAAACTTCTGAGCATGGATTAATTTGATATGCAATTATATGCGAAGGGATTGGTCCTATGGAGGGTGGAAAATTCATGACAGGGAATTAATATGATGTAGGAAAAATTGGGTTGATTTGTCCAATTAGGGATTTGGAGATAAAAGAAAACCTAAATATCACACTTAAGGTTTCTTAAACATTATTTTCAGAAGTCTTAAACATCACATTTAAGGGTTTGATTGCATTACCCAACCATGAAATTGAGTAACTCACAATATTATTGAATAACTGGAATGATTAATAAGTGAAATTATAAATCTATTGATATTATTTTCTAAGTAGCTTTTTCTAACTAGAGTTAAACTAGGAAATAATAATCTAGTAGAATTAAAAATACTTAGCCTAATACAAATAGAAAATAATACTAATTAAAATAAACTCCTAACTCCAAGAAGAATAAAATTTAAGTTACTAAAACTATAATAATAATTTGAAATAATATAATAATACTCCTAAATAGTAGTTGTTTTACATTTAATATAATTATGATTTCTAATTTATTTAAGAAATGTAGTAATAACCTATCCTGCATCATAATAAGACTATAATTTTGTGGATAAGTGTCAGTTTCTATATAAAACTACTGATAAAAATCGGGTGGACTGTCTTCTCATGTGATGTTTTTAGAAAATGCCTTTGATGCATGTACATTGGATCATTTATATAATTTGAGTATCTGCTATAATCGGATCATTTTCTAATGAACTTCGTGGATGTTATCTCATTGGTTCCTTTTGTGTGCTTCTAGACCCCTGAGAAGTTTTCTGAACTACAAATAGAGGCTTATCTTAAAACTGTTGCTTTTCGCCGGGAAATAGATGAAGTACAGAAAGCTGCTGCCGGGAGAGGGTTTGGTGGTGTGCAGACATCCAGAATAGCCTCTGAAGCCAACAGAGAATTTATTTTTTCATCATCATTTACCGGAGATAAACAGTGAGTAGTTAGTTTATCTACATTTTTTCATGCCTTGTTGAAATTCAATGACAGTGGCTGCATTTTTCCTTCATTCTTCTGTGATTTTTATTTCAGAAGAGCAATGACTGACATTATGCTAGTATGCTTGCATGTATTCAGAGTACTTGCATCTGCAAGAGTAGAAGGAATTGCAGAGAAGAATCATAACACCCAATCAAGGCATCATGATTTGGACTCAACTTGTGGCAATGCTGCTGTCAGTAAGTCCAACAGTATCTTAGGATCAATTCTAGATGGATCTAGAAAGGCCTTAAGTAGTGATGTTGAAACATATCTAGATGAAAGGGGACAGGTACATGTTAGTAGGCTGACAGCTATGGGGATTCATATGACACGTGATTTGCAGAGGAACCTGGATTTGATGAAAAAGATTGATCAGGAGAAGACAACTGCAAATAAGGTGGAGAACATTGAGCCCATGTCAAACACAGAGAAAGCTGAAACCCCAAACAGTTTTTCCAGTGACTACCTGGTTGCTGAGACTTCACTGGGTGTTGATGGGAAACCTATAAACATGGATGTTGGAGATGATGTATCCATGGTAACAAGTGGAACTCCTATACAGATAACTTTTGAAGATGATGGTGTGGGCACGAATTTTGCCCGTGATGATGATGATGAAATATTTGCTCGTTTAGTAGCAGAAGTTCCATTGGAGATCCCTGCTGATGGTACTAAAAAACAGTCATCTCATATTGATTCTGATTCTGATTCTGATTGTGAATGGGTGGAAATGCATATTGAAGGAAAGGTTAATAGTTCCGCTGACAATAATTCTGGCATGAAGCCCTCTATTGGGGGCAACTGGGTTGATGAGAGTGAGAGTGATGTGGAATGGGAGGAAACACCTTGTAATGCCATCAAAACTGCTGCTGTTTGCACTGGTATATCGGAAAAATCAATTTCCAAAGGATGTTTATTAGAAGAGGCTGATTTACAGGAGGCAATCCGGAGAAGTCTTCTGGATCTTGGTGATGAGAAATCTAAGAATGTGTTACCTGAACCTGAAAATTCAAATGAATTTGCAACTATCCTTGATAAAGCAGACATTACGGCTGGGCCAGATTTAACTCAACAAAATGGTTCTTTACAGCAGAAGTCCTCTGTAGGTTATAATTTCAATAATACAGGAGTATCCACAAACAAACCACTCAACAAATCCGAGCAATCAAGGCAAGCTGCAAGTGAGAAGGGGAATTTGAATAGAGAAGTGCTGTATGCAGAATCACTAAAAACTCTATCAGAAGTAAAGAAGGTCCACTTTCTTCTGGATCAATGCCCTGATGCTTATAATTCTAATTTCAGGTTATCTACAATTGCTAACAGGAATTCCAAGGACATTTCTCGTAGCTGTGATTCAGTATCTAGTGGCATCGTTGATGCCATCCTTGCTGACAAGAGAAATGATTCACAGGCTGACCAATCCGTTTTGG